CCGCTGATCAATAGCTATTGGTCGGCGGGGAGCCGTCGTGTCGCCGGCGCGGTGGCGATGTCGTCAATTTTTTTATTACGAGCCTGGACACACGCACGCAGCGCGCATGTGCACACGCATGCGCGTACCTTGGCTGTACTGTGCACAGCGTGAAGGAAGAAGATAGAAAAGGGAGAAAGAGAACGAGCGAGAGAGAAAGAGAGAGAAAGAGAGAGAACAGATGCGCGCGCATGCGATCGCATTAGATTTCACGGGTCGCGGGATATCCTCGGTCGCGTCGGTTGCTATCCTTCCTTTAATTGGTCCAGGCCATGTCCGAGTCCGAGGTAATTGCCACTGTATTTTAGCATTCGATGGTTCTTGCCCAGAGCGTAACATCGGTTTCTGAAATTCCGTTGCCGCAGTGATTTTGCGCGGATGGCAACCTCCAACCGGGTACCGTTCGTTCGGTAGAAATCGTGTCGGGTGACGTTTACGGTCGCTGACTGACATGCGATTTCTTTCTGTTCGATTTATTGGAGAAACGAGTGTATGTATGGTTTCGGTATGGAAAAACGTACGGTGCCGTTTAACGTTCGTTTCTTATCCTTGAATATCCCTTCATGGTTTCTGGTGAGTTTTTGTTTATGTAACATCGTTTCATATAATCCACTACTACATAGAATCTTCCGAAAATAACCGTATACGAAATATAATTATATACGAAATTATTAGACCAAAAATGTCGAATAGCTAGTCAAATCACGAGACGTTAGGAACAATCATCGACATAGTTATCTAAGATCAATCGCGTTTATAAAAACGGTTATGTTAAACGTCGACGTATCGCGACCTAACCTCAAAATTTTCCCTCCATAAAAATGCGACCGCGAACTCTCGGTTACAATTGCTTATCAAGAATTCTATTCGCGCGATTATTCTATCGAGCAAAAGCTAGGCCAAAAGATCTTTTCGCGTTTCTCATCACCGGCATCTCTCTGTTCCGGCAAAGTCACCTTTTAACGAGCGGGCGTATACCTCTGGAGAGATACCCGCGGCCTCCCGCTCGTCCTCTTTCTTCTTGGGGAACAATAGGCCCCGGCAGGGGAGTTAATCTACATACGCAAATTCCAACGATAGATCTTGAGCGGCGAGAGAGAAGGCGGCTGCGTATTGCCGGACGTACACGCGTATGTCTTCAACAATGGGCCTACCCCTTCGGCTGGCCCTGGCCGGGGGCATCCCTGAAGGAAGGACAATAAGCTCCGCTTGATAGTTATTGTGGTGCCTAGTCCACCTCGCGTCTCTCCCACCGCGAAAGAGTGGAGGCCTCTTCCCGGTGAATAAAAAGTCACCGGATACCCTCGAGCAAAAGGCACGCGTTACTGTTTTTCCTAAATGATTGTTCGGACGCGCGCGTAATTTAAGCGGGCTTAACTAAGCGGGCCAGGCTGATCGGCATGGAGAAATAATTCCTTGAGAAGTCCATCGTGGAAATATTTATTGCCGCGGCGAGGTTAACGCCTCTGAAAGCTCGAAACGGAAGGTAGCCAATCGAGGAACGAGTTATTTGCCTTATCGATGCAAAGTAACTTCTTCGTGCGTCTACTATTTCAACTAACGTATCTACTGTATCCTCCTGTCCAGGATGCTTGTTTCTCCGATTGACAAAGAAACGCGAAAGCCAGTTAGACTTCCTCTTATTAGTAACCACACCATTGCTCTGTACTTTTGATCCAAAGATATCCAACTTTTCTTTTTTATTCCATTTTTCTCCTCCTGCTGCGTTTATCTTGCTACGGTATGAGGATCATAATTTATCGATAATCCATCTAAGCATCCAAAATAATTCTCGAAAATAAAAGTTCTCGCCAAGTTAACGAAAAAATACGCGGAGGGAAGTAGTTTTCGAAACAGTGGTGTTTCCCAGAGCGCGGCAGGTGTCGGGACACGTGGCGGAAGGGGAATCTTTTTACGAGACGGGTCCGGCGCGAGCGTGAGCGTAAGCGGAAGCGGAGGATCGGGGCCGCTTTTCCGTTCGACTGGGATGGCACGACGACCTTTGAGGTCGATGCACCTCGACTGACTCGGCGTCAAAACAAGACACGGCCGATAGAACGTGTCGGGTACGCTTCTCGTCCGCGCCGGGAAAGGTTCCCACCGTCTAGTCGCCCCACGACTCTTCCCTCTTCGCTCCGTCCGCCTCGGCCAGCGCTTTTCTCCGCAAGCGTCTCCTTTCTTCCCGCGTGCACCGATTCCTGGAAGCTCGCGAAGGCGCAGCGCTGTCTGGCCGAGCCGGGACCGCTCGTCGTCTGCACCGAGCCACAAATACCTACAAAGCCGCGCTGGCGCGCAACGCTTGGAATGAGAACCAGCGCGAGAGATCGGAGAGGCCAGCAGCGAGACGAGGAGAAGGAGCAGGAGCACGAGGAGGAGGGGGAGGAGGAGGAGGAGGAGGTGGAAGAAGAAGAAGAAGAAGAAGAAGAAGCGCAGCAACGGCAAAAGAGCAGAAGCGGTAGAAGGAGGAATAAGGATCAGAGAGGGAGAGAAGGAGATGGTGCGGTAGCTGAAGCGGCAGGGACCAGGGAACGAGTAAAACCAGGCTGGCTCACCCGACTACCTTGCCCAGTAGAGATGCCTACGGTATAAAAGCCACGGAGAGAGAAGAGCCGCTTCTAAGTAGCTACGTGATCAGCGATAATAACGCGACTTGGAAACGTGGAAGATCGTTCCTCTTCGCCCTCCCCCTTTTTCTATCGGCGACGCGTACAGGCTTATATTGTCAGTCGTTTGGGTTACTGCCGCGCAATCCACTGGTGGTGGATCCTGCCGCGCGGCTTTCCACCAGGTTTAGGTAGCCACCTTAGGCTCGGTGGACACGCGGCTCGCCTTTCTTTCTCTCTCTTTCTTTCTCTTTCCCTGTCTAG